AGCAGCTTCCTTGCTGATTCTATGGACTTTAATTTCCCAACTCTTCCCTTCAGGCTGTTTCTAATTAATTACCTCCATTTTTTTTGTTTTTTTCTTTGAAATTCATGAAGTTCAGCATCACAATACTATTTCCTAGTATGAACTCTCCTATGAGAATATCTAACTGAATTATATTATGGACACTGTAACTTAGTGGCACAACTACACTTACTTCTTCAGCAACCAGAAAAAACCTGGGGGTTACAGTGGACAACAAGCTGAATCTGAGCCAAAAGAATGTCTTGTTGCAAAGAAGGCTAATGGCATATTGGGCTGTCTTAGTACGAGTGCTGCCAGGAGACTGAGGAAAGTGATTCTCCCACTTTACTCAGCACTGGTGAGGCCACATCTGGAGTACTGCGTCCACTTTTGGGGAGCCCCACTACAAAAAGAATGTGGACAAATTAGATAGTCCAGCAGAGGACAACAGAAATGGTTAGGGGGCTGGGGCACATGACTTGTGAGCAGAGATCCTGTTTTTCTCTGATGAAAAAAATCCCCAATTTTCAGATTTAAAAACATAACCCAAAATCCACATTTTTCCATGATTAAAATGAAACACCCCTAATATATATATAGTAGGGGTGTTCATTTTAATCTAATATCTATATAGTTATTCTAATATCAATATAAATATATCTATATATTAGCAGTGTTTCATTTTAATCAGGGAAAATGTGGATTTTGGGTTACTTTTTTAATCTGAAAATTGGGGATTTTTTTTATCAGAGAAAACCAGGATCTCTGCTTATGAGGAAAGGCTGAGGGAACTGGGCTTATTTAGTCTGCAGAAAAAAAGACTGGTTTAATGGCAGCCTTCAACTACCTGAAGGGCAATTTCAGAGAGGATGGAGCTAGACTTTTCTCAGTGGTGAGAGATAACAGAATAAGGAGCAATGGTCTTAAGTTGCAGAAAGGGAAGTGTAGATTAGATATTAGGTAAAGTTTTCTCAGTAGGAGAGTTGTAAAACACTGGAACAGGTTACCCAGACCACGTCTACGTGAGACACTAACAGCACAACCGTTACTATGTAGTTATTTAGTACTCGTATAAACAAGTACTAAATGAATGTGCAGTAACTGGAGTTACTGCACAGTAGCACTGAGGAATGGCTTTTTTGTGACACTGACTATGCAGTAGCCTGAGTCTACTGTGCAGAAGCATTGTGTCACACTTTCTGCCACGCAGTGCTACTGAGCAGTAGCCATGGGCTTTTGGGCAATCAGCGTCTTGTGTAGATGCAACCCCAGAGAGGTTGCAGAATCTCCATCCTTGGAGGTTTTTAAGACCTAGCTAGACAAAGCCTTGGCTGGGATGATCTAGTTGGGGCTGGTCCTGCTTTGAGCAGAGGGTTGGACTAGATGACCTCCTGAGGTCCCTTCCAACCCTAATTTTCTATGGTTCTGTGAACCCACAGTGTGCAAAGCAGGATTAACTCATCAGTAACGAGAAAGAGTGATTCCAAGAAGCAACGGCTTGTTATTAAAAAAAAATGGTTTCTCTAAACTACGTAATTTTTTAATCAAATTATACTGAAATCCTGACGATATCTTTGTTAATTTTCAGAGGGCTGTATTACCTCTCTGAACTTTCACAAAATAAGTTTAGAATGTTGAAAGTTCATACACATACACAAAGGACACAAGAAGCCAAGTAGAGCAGACTTGTATGTACAGAACAGTTATTTCCCAGGAGAAAAAAAATGATGGAGTGCGTTTAGGAATAAAAATGGTATGAGCATGAAAATCTCACGTCGTGAGAATATTGCTGTAATAGCTAGCAATGAAATGCTGGTTCCAAATCTGAATAGCAATAGCTATGACTATACAATGATGAGACTCTCATGATTTGTCATGGAGTCTACATTTTCATGGATTCTGTACTTTAAACAAAAAAGCCACGACTTCTCAATGGTCCTTCGTGAAGCGTCTTTAACTTTTTGAATATACAAAGAAAATGTTTCCAGTCCTGATGGTTGTAAATATAACATTTTAATCATAAACCACACAGAACTCAATCCCAGGCTGCCTTCTTAAGTCCTATCATACAACTGTTCTTCTGTAGAACACTATTTCTTTAAAAATAGAGCATTTGGCTGTAATAGGAAATCTATTACACCATATGATTTATGAATTATAAATCAAACACTATCAAAATAAAACCCATTTGAAAATGTATCAATTTTCCTCTTTGAATATCATATTTTAATATACTGCTAAAACTTTATATTTTTAAAAAATATGGTCATGACTTATCTTTCACGCTAACTTTTTTCATTTTTGTCATAATAACACAATGATTTTAGCAATTATTTTGGTCACAACAGTTAACCTTAGGGATGATAAAATGAAAATATTGGAAGTAGTCAAGGCATATCAAAATCTTCTGTAACAGGAGCAATCAGTGATTTCCGCATTCTAAGCATAAAATTAAAAACACCCCCCTCAAAGGGCTGGACTAGTTTACTTAAGCTGATTTGCTCTTCTCCTGCCTTTTACACTTTGAAAGTGTTATTTTTTACTTAACCCTATACCATATCAATTGTTAACAGCAAGTGTCTCTATCCAATTACAGTGTTTCTCAACACGTAATTGGCTCCCTCACTCCACCATATTCTAGTTTAAATAATTCTATTGCTAGTAGCTTCCCAGCTCTGTAACTCCCTCCCTCTTGAGGCCCACCAGAGCCTGAGCCTGGACATCTTTTACAAGTGCCATAAAACAATCCTATTCCGGCATTCGGCAAACAAAGCTAAGCTGGGATATTGCTTATAGGGGTTCTGCTTTATGTTGATACTCATTTTTTAAATTGCTTTGTTTTCCTGTTCATTCTCCTCTCCTCTCTTGTTCCTTTTCCTGTTTCATAAATGATTCTGTCCTCTTAATCCAAGACCCCCGGAACCTTTGCTGGGAAGGGCAGAATACAAAGCAAAAAATAAACAAATAGCAGCCTGGTTCCCTTTTAATTCTAAGAGCTTCCACTTGATCTAGAGTCTCTCTTAGTCAGAACATTATCTAATGCTTGATAAGAAAAATTAAAATTCACCAACCTCTTCCATGCAGTTGGACTTATTGCTCCATGGAACTCAAATGCAATGGAGGCCTTGGACTTAAGTGTTCCTCCTAATGTCCTAGGTTTCAGCATCTAGATTCTTTTTTCCTGAACTCCTTTATGTCTTTGATGCTACCAAGATAAAAGACTCCTTCCCAATGCTTATCAAAATATTATTTGCATGTCTTGTAATAACTGACACCTTTATACTTAACTGGCAAGGTCCCCAATGGCTCTTACAGGATTCAAGCAGCGTACCTATTCCTTAGCTGAGCATCTCCCCTGTAGCCTGTTTACTGGATCCCAAGTCAACAATCACCTTATTTTGCAGCTCTTACTGTATCAGCCTAAACCAATCAAACTAAATGGGGTCTACCTAAGAATGTTTTACACTCTTGACCATTTTTTTTAAATTTAAGAAGTGCTGTTACTAATGAGGTATGTTTGATGACAGATAATAAGACAGGCAAAACCTCTTAAAACATATTAAATAGTACCTTCTGGGATCCTGAAGTAATACATCTATATTCTTGGATATTAGAAACTTTAAAACTTTGTACAGCTCTTCTCGTCTTGTGACTTTCTGTAGCGCTGTTTTGAGGTGGATTAAATCATTTAGAAATATGCTGATTCAAAACATCTTTTCCATGAAAAAAGGAAACTTGATACAGTACAATCAAAAGTACCAAAATTTGGCTAAACTGTCAGTTTCTATTAAACAACGATTCAGTACATAAGATCTGATGGGATTAAAGTAGGCCACCATTCATGGCACATGCTGTGAGCCATCACTTTTCAGAAATATTAAAATTTGCCAGAAGGTAAATTTAAAGAATTTGGTTGTAATTCAAATGTCACTCTTAATAGTCTGGTGGCTGTTGCCTATCAAACACACATTATGTGATGGTACTGACAATTTTGTAGAATCCAATTTATGTCAAGTTTAAATATTACAGAAATGGAAACAAAATTCATTAAACTGGTTTAAACTATAGAATATAAAAACTCTCATCTCAGACTGGATATCTTGATATTGAGAGTATTTGGTAAAGATTAACATACTAGTGAAGAAACTGACACTCTTAAAGGAAAAAGTTATTTTTGTTAGTTCAACACTGATTATTTTAAGCCAATCATAAATCAAGATTTTCCTCATGTACATAATCAGGCATGCAACAAGGCAAAAGGTTTCTATTGTTTCCTACTGACTGGTCGATAATACAGAAGAGTGATATAACCTTACTTTCTAACAAAAGAAAGAAAAGTGGGTTCTTTTACCCTCAAGACCTCCAACTCTAATTCAACTTTATAAAAGTTAGTTTACAAAAATCTCAGCACCATATAATTATGAATCAAACCCATAGTAGAAGATGATTTCTAGATATCCCTCAGGTAAGTATGTAATATGAAAATAACAATTCATGTACTAACTTATTTTTTCAGGAAATTTCAAGATATATTGTGCCTCAAGGTAAATATTGACTCCAGATTTTGCCTTGAGTAATATTTGCCTCTGAGTTAAATATTGATCTTCAGTCTTTTTTTTACAAAAATCAGTATTATTTGAATGTTGTTAGAGTATGGTTCAAATAAATACCATCCTTCCATGATAAGAATATACATATATTTTTATAAAGCTTTGTAGCCTATCATTTTCTTTCCCAGTTGCTCCCCAGTTTCTATAGCCAATAAAGATGTACGCAAGAAAGAGTGGGATAGGGATTATATGAAAAATTGTTCAAACCCACTGATACATTCAACACCCAAAATCTTTCAGGACATACTAGTATGCAAGGTAACAAAACAGGTTTTCCTTTGTGTTGTAGAATACACTTTAAAAGATGTTTTTGCTCAGAATCTATTTTATATACACAAATTAAAGGCTATAAATATAGAAAGCTATACTTACCTCAAAATGTGTAAATGATGTTTGTTCCTCAATCTCATTAACATTCTGTCTGAGATCTGGTGGGATGTTTCTATTTTTTATCTGGAAGTGTGTTTTACTTATATAACCATCAGGAAAGTCCTGTGCTCAGAAAACAGAAGAAAAATATTTTTGTAACCAATTAAAACAAATTTCTAAATGCTATCATCATTCTATGGCATAAAATATATATTATATTAAGTCAGAAGTTTAGAACCTACTTGTGATGGGTGCTAAGTGTCCTGCTTTTCAGTATCTTCTGCTTTAGAAGAAGTCAAACACCTCCTTAATGAAAATAATATGAGATACAGCTGCTATTGATGAACTGACTTATTTAATCAGTGATAGATACTTGGCTACCAAAAGGAAGTTCTTGAAAGACATTATGCTGAGGTCTGGAGGGAGATAAAATGCCAAATCCACAGGTACAATGTACAGGGGGCAGAAATAAGCAACAGGGCAGAAGTGGAAGAATTACATGGCAGGAATAATGTTTAATATCTGAAATACAACTTTTTTTTTCCAGAAGCAGAATCATAACAAGAACAGTCCAGTGAAATTTCATGTATGAGCTTTGTACAATTCAGTTTTTTATGGATTAATATACGTGGTAGGTGGGATTAAATGTATTGGATAAAAATATAATCAGAATTAGATTGCTGATAATGACATAACCTATTAATCTTCTTAAGGTAGCTCATAGATCAAAAGACCCTTCCACTGGTCTTGGTAAGGATGAAATAGCAGAGAAGAAAGATTGAAGCCCATTTTGCAATAAAGCCCTTGGAAACCAATTCAATCTACATCTGATGCCAATCCTTCCATATGTAAAAGAGTACAACTAGGAAAAGGACAGTTTCATGGTATGAAGATAACCTATAGAAAAACAGTGACAACAGAACAGGAGTCGCCACTAGCTTAAATAGGATTGTTAGCTGACACCATCTGGAGGTTTCTGCACAATGTTGATACTCTGATTTCATGCAAGCCCACCGAGTAGACATCCTATGAGACATCATTCACAGGTTCAACTTATCCTAGTAATTTGCTAGTCAGCCACACCAAGATAAGTCTTTTGTCATGTATCTGTAGCAGTGGTTTGGACCTACATACCAATGTCAATGTAACTAAACTAGTGCAAATTTCCCAAATCATGGCAAACTTATGGAGTTAACTTGGTCTCATCTTCCTTCCTAGGTTTCATAAACTCACACATAGGAGTTCAGTACTGGATAAGAGAGACCAAATATACATTAAACACATCACTTGTTTGCTAACTAAATGATCGAAACTAGTTTCATATGTTTTTTTTATTTAAAAAAAAAAGCATACCTTTTTTTAAACAAAACCATAACTTAAGTATTTTCAGTATATGGGCTTTTACGCCACTGCCTTGTACAGAAAATACTTCAGAGCTGCCCCATAAGGGGCACTGGAAAGAAGACTGTGACCCAGACAAGCATCTTCTCCCAGAATGCATCCACTGGATGTTGAGAGCATTCCTCTACTCCATTCTTTAATTCTGAGCTCAATCTAAGGGTTAGTGTGAGAGAAGACAGACAGGGGCATGCACCCTTCCTCTCCATACTCTCCACACTGGTTATCACAGTCCTCCCCATCCATGTAGTCTGCTATTGCAAAAGGTCCTTGCGCAAGAATGGGGAGACACTTTTTGTGAGCTTCTTCACACCCTGAGCTAAGAGTAAACATATGGCAACATTGTTAAGGTTTTCTCAGTTACAAATAAGGGATGGAAACAAAATTTAATATTGTATTTTTGAGAATGTAAATATGCAGAAAGGCAACAGAGCTACATGGAAAACAATGAACAAGAGCTGCATGTTGAAGACTTATTACTTGAAGGAAACAAATAAATTGGGGTTTTATTAGCTGTTTTATTATGTTTTATTTTAGACAAACAAACACAAAAAGCATATGTGCAACATCTGATGTAAAAGGATTCTATTCAAAATAGTCTCTGTATTCTATTCAAACTCATTAATGTAGCATTAAATTGCTTGACAAGGCTGCAAATTTAACTATAATTTAACTCTTTGGTTAATCTATCATTTCTGACATGGTTTATTCCATTTATTCTGATCTTTAAATCAATGGGTGTTCCATTCTGACACATTAGTTCAGTCTTTTCAGTAAAATTACAGATTATATATAACAACAGCATCTGTTATGAGCTATTTGTGTACTTTGTTCTTATCAAGTTTCATACCTGAAACAAGAAGATAACACCAGTTATATGTATTTTTGTCAGTAAACTTTTAAGCACAAATCACTTCATGAGAAATTACCTTGCTCTCAACTTCTCTTCCAGCCATGCTACACACACACACACACGTGTGAGAGAGAGAGAGAGATCTATAGAGAGATCTCTTATCTCACTAAATCTCAGTAGGCCAAACTCATTGAGAGTATAAGCTCTCAAAACCATGTTGGATGTCCCTAGTAGCAGGTTTAGTTAAACCCTCAGTTATGCAGTACTTTAAAGTGCAAACCCAAAAGTAGGAGCAGTAATTAAGAAATTAGGCCTGCCTGGAATAGGCAAGAAGTCCACTTAGTTAGAGGCTCTCTGAAGAAACTCCTGTTTGTAGAGTTTCAAGGACTTTCTACTTCTCTGGCAGAGCAGCAGAAAAAACACCACCTGCTATCATAGGTGTGAATTGTTTTGGGGGCACTATTGCCTTCAAGGGAGCAGGAGTAGGTAATATTATGCCCCTTCTCATACCAATTTTCCTGAGTAAGTGAAGAAACTCAAGCTCTGAATGCTTGCAGCCTCCAGTGTTCAAATTACATGGAAGATGTTGAGACAGCCAGAGACACACTGATCTAGTAACCTTTGTATTTTACACCGGTGGGGGGGGGGTGCCTCTTGACAACACCGGGGTAGAATATCCAAGAAAAATAAGCATCTTCCCTGTTTCAGTGTCTTTCTGGTACTTCAACTTTATACCAGTATATTTTTTATAATTTGTGCATAAACAATTAATCAATTCTTCTGAAAGGACGCCTCTCTTTAAAATGGAATAAACCATATGCCTGCTACTCAACTCACCTTACTTCATACCACAAGCAGCATATCAGAAATAGATACGGTGACTGTAGCCTCTGACATGGTTATTTAGACTGCAGTAACTTAACTGCATATGAAAAAATTAAATGAACACAAATGCAGGCTGGATTCGGTAGATCACACCTAATGTGTGTGACATACAGTATTACTCTGCAATTCAGCTCCAACCAACAGGTGTATAAGTGATTTACTTCTGGCTTGAATACAGCTTTCCTTTTAAAAGACAGGATTATACAAATAAAACAATAGGGAGTTTCTCTCTACACCTATAAATAAAATATTTTGTTAGAACCAGAAGAATTTATGACATGACAGCCTATTTGACATAAAATGTAGATGTTTTGTCATTTAATTTCTACTGATTTTAAAAGAGCATAGTTTTACAATTCTGATTTACTTCTGAAGACTCACTGACATCCGTAGAACAATTTCTTTGAGTATGGAATGGATGTAATGGAGGAATGAGCTCCAAGTAAACTACATCCAGAAAATCAAGAGTATACCAATCTTTTCAAAAGCTAGGCATTAAAAAACCCCAACGTTCTCCTAACCATTCTACTTCAAGACACTCATCTCTTTCAAGGGGAAATTTCTTTCCCACATTATATGGTTTAAAAGGTTCCTCTCAGTGATCAGGTTTTTATCACACTCTAGAATCAGAGTCACTAACTTGTCCCATTAAAAGAGATCGCACCATTTTTTATGTGAGAACAAAAATCTGTCTCATTTTGCTATTTCCAGCAAAGCTTCCTATTTCACAGAAAGTTCAAACTTTGACCTAAGTATTGAATTCCTGATAGAAACTCAGAGCATCTTTCTTTTCTGAATAAACCGCTTATAAATATAGCCCTGGACTGAAGTCTAAGGTTTCAAATAGCTGTCTATATGAAAGGGCACATTGTAATGCATTTGCTAATATTTTCACTGTTTTAAAACCCTGAGTATGTTTTTAAAAAATGAGGTATTTTGTGTTTGAGGCCATGATCTTTCTTTCCACTGAAGCCTTGCCTAATGTGTATTGAAAGAGTTGCAAATTCTAATTTACTGCCATTTAGAGCATGAGTGCTGACATATATTTACCTATGAGCTTTCTTGTATTATAAAATGTTATAAGGATGATTTAAGCAAGCAGCCATATAAAAATAAAAATATACAGCATATGGAAGAAAAGTTAAGATGACAGTAATGAAGATATAATAGAACCTAGGAATTGTAGAACAACTGATAAGGAAAGGAAATATATGGAAGAAATATATGGCCAGTAGACCTAAAATCAATTAGAAGGATCTTTTATGTGCATTATGCGCAAAAGGAATCCTACCAGTACAGTTGATTCATTGCTGGTAGAAATGGCAAAAAATGTCTAAAACAGAAAAGGGAGAAGAGTTCAAAATATATTTCCTTTCTGTATTGAGATATAGGCCAAGTACTAGAGAAATTCACCATTATATACAATTTTCTACTTCAACAGTAATTAAGGAAAATGTTAAACAGCAGCTATGAAACTTGGACGTTTAAAAAGAAAAAACAAGTCTGCTAAACCAAATGGAACAGCTGACAACCAACATCCAGGAAAAAGCCAATCTGCTTAATGATTACTTTGTGTTGGTTTTTCACCAGTGCAAAGGGACCACCCTGCCTCACATGACGCAGGATGACCAGGGTGAGAGTACATATATGCCCACCATTGGCACAGATCTTGTGAGGGAGCACCTCAAGAGGCTGGACACCCATAAATCAGCTCGTCTGGACAGACTGCACCCAGAAGTACTAAAGGAACTGGCAGACATCATAGCATGGCCACTAGCAAGGATATTCGAGAACTCGTGGCACTCAGGCAAAGTACCTGAAGTTTGGAATACTGCATGATCAGAGGGCAAGAGAAGAGGCCTTATGAAAAGAGGCTGCAAGCCATGGGACACTTCAGCCTGGAGAAGCGCAGGCTCAGGGGTGACTTGGTGGCAGCCTGTAAGTACATAAGGGGTGTGCATCAGAATCTGGGGGAACGCCTGCTCACCAGAGCACCGCACGGGATGACAAGGTCTAACAGTCACAAACTCCTGCAAGACCATTTTAGGCTGGACATAAGGAAAACCTTCTTTACTGTCTGAGCCCCCAAGGCCTGAAATAGACTCCCCCAGAGGTGGTGCAAGCACCTACTCTGGACACTTTTACAAAACATTTGGATGCCTATCTTGCTGGCATCCTTTGACCCTAGCTGACTTCCTGCCCTTTGGGCAGGGGGCTGGACCCAATGATCTTCCAAGGTCCCTTCCAGCTCTAACGTCTACGAAACCTATAAAATCTATGAAACTGGCATCCAAGAGTTTTAAAAGAGCTCGCCAAGGAACTACTCCGATTGATAATGTTGCTTTTTCAGTAAGTCTTTGAATACTGTAGAAGTTACAGGAGACCTAAAGAAAACTGATATTGTACCAACATTTTAAAAAGGTAAATGGGATGACTTGAGTAATTATATGCATGCTAGCCTGACACTGATCCTAAGTAAAATAATGGAATGGGTGACACAGAACTGAGGTTCATAGACAGTTAAAGGAAGGAAATATAATTAATGCCAATCAACATAGGTTCATGGATAATAGAGCTTGTCAAACTAACTTGGTATTTTTTGAGATTACATGTTTGGTTGATAATGGTAGCAATACTGTTCTAATACTCTTACACCTCGGTAAAGAACTGACTAGTTACCACAAGAAACTTTAAGAAACTAGAACAACGTAAAAATAATATGACATATATTAAATGGATGAAAAACTGGTGATTTTAAATGTGGGGGTCTTGCAGAACAGGCCCTAATCCCATGCTAATTAAAAGGCAGATCAGTGGCCTAGAATAAAAGACTAAAAAGCTTGGAGGAGTAAAAAATGAAGAAGAAATATCCCTAATACATAGTGATCTGGATTGCTTGGTAAACTGTGCACAAGAAACCATATGCATTTTAAAACAAAAATGTAATAACACATCTAGGAATAAAGGATGTAAGTCATGCTGATAGAATGGGGAACTATATTCTGTAGAGCAGAAACTCTGAAAAGACCTGTAGATAATCAGCTGAAGACAAGCTCCCAATATGACCCCCTAGTCAGAAGGCTTAATGCTGTTCTTCATTATTTAAACAGAGGAACAGTAAGTAGCAATTGGGAGATTAAATTATCTCTGTATGTGACACTGGTGCGACTTCTGTGGGATTATGTGGTACAGTTCTGGGGTCCATGCTTCAAGAAAAGTGTTCATAAATTAGAAAATGTTCAACAAAAAGCAATGAAAATGATTTAAAGACTGAAAAAAATCCCCAATAGTTAAGTATCTCAATCTGTTTAGCTTAATGAAAAGAGTGGTATAAGGTGACTTGATGGCAGTCTGCAACTACTCATATAAGGAAAAGAAATTTCATAATAAAAGGGTCTTCAGTCTATCAGATGAAGATTTAACCAAGTCCAACAGCTGAAAGTTAAGTCAAACTAGAAGTAATGTGAAGTTTTTTAACACTGAAGTTAGCTGTTAGCACAATTTACCAGGAGTTGTGATGGGTTCTCTCCATCATGGCACTTTTAAGTCAAGAATGGATGTTTCTCTAAAAGACCACATGCCACCTCTGAGTGGTTAACATGCCACCCCCAGGCTCCTGCCTGGTCACCGCTCCTTGCATTGCTCCTGCTGCTACGGCTACCAGGGTCTCCAGGCTCCCCACCCTCCTCCAGCTTCCGATTCCCACCCCAGTCCAAGGGCCAGAGCAGTGCAGTGGAAGGTCCCCAGACAGAGTTCCAGGCTGCCTAGGCTGCACACGTGGCCGAGGAGAAAAGCCAGGCTGTCTGGACTGTCCACACAGCTGAGAGAAGATCCAGGCAGCCCATGCAGCAGGGAGAGGAGCTGTGCGGGTGATGAAAGGAGGGCTGAACTGTCTGCACAGCAGAAGGGGACTGCAAAAGGGCTCCCCCTGCTGTGTGTGGCCCATGCTGCACAGAGCTTGGTGTCTGTGGCCTGCAGGCCATGTGGACCCTTGACACCCAGAAGTTGGACAGCCCTGTTCTAGTTCAAACAGAAATACATTCAGGAACATCTTTTGTCCTATCCCTATACAGAAGGTCAGACTAAACAATTACAATAGATTTATAATCTATGAATCCCTGAACCAAACTCATTGGCCTAGATTCTCCCAGCCCTCTTCCACTTTCCTGTCCTTAGCCAGCCAGGTTCAACACCGTACATTAGATCAGCCTGAGGGATGCTCTACCTTGTGCTTGCTGCTATCATCTCCAGAGAGTCAACAGGGCAGCCAAGATACAGAGAAGCTTAGAAGAGAATACATTAGGAGTATGTTTGCTGCCTATGCCCAATTATGATTACTCCACATTTAGGTGTACCCAGTCGTATGCAAAAAAAATATCAAATCACACAAGAAAATCTGGGCCTATATGTGCTGTGATGATGCAAAGACATTTAGGAGGGGGAAAAACAAAAGACAAAATAAAGCTGAACAGCTTATCTGAATACCATCTTAAAATAAATTAAGGTGTGCCAGGAGAAAGTTTTCAGCCAAGGAGAAAATGTAAGGTATTAGGCATCCAAAAACTGACTAGCCTCTCTCATGTTCAAGGATTCTAATGGTTTCAGGGTTTTTATTAAAAGAGAAAGGGAGCTAGTCAATTTTGGGGATGCTATTATTGAAAATGAGGGAAGATAGCAGCCACGCAACTGACGAGTCCCTGTCATTTTCAAGGCTTCTAGTAGCAGCCCTTTGGCAGCTACTTCCCCTTCACTCTGTTAAAAAATAATTGCAGTTAATTGCAATCTTGCTCATACAGTTAAACAAAAGTCAGCAGCCCCGCACCCCACCCTGCAACAGCCCAGAACCCACGTGCTCTGGGGCTCCTCCTCCGCCACTACCAACAGCACACAGCCCCAGTCCCAACCCCAGGCCACCCCACACCCGCTATGGTCTTGTGCCAGCCACAGCAGACCAGCCAGAACCCGTGTGAACAGCCCTGACCCTGGCCCACCCTGCGCCTGCTGAGTAGTGACAGAAGCTGCTGCTGTGTGTGGGGAATGAGCACCCACCCTTCCCCCCTCACTGTTGTCCGGCCCTTCTTGCTGCAGTCCACACCCAGGCTGTCATATCGCTCCTCTGCACTGCCACCACTGCCCCACCGGATGGGCCCAGAGGTGGAAGTGATAGCAGCAGAAGGGAGCTGCAGGGCAGCCTGGGTATGGGCTCTGGGCAGCTGCAGCAAGAAGGGCTTGGCAGCTGCAAGGAAAAGCAGCCACTTTTCCCTCATGTTAAGCAGCAGCTTCTGCCCAGTTGCCACCGCTGCTTCTACTGCTCAGCATGGGTGTACAGTCCAGGGCAGGTGCAGGGTGGGCCAGGGTTGGGGCTCTGTGCATGGGTTCCAGCTAGTCCAGAGCTGGTCCGCTCCATCAGGCCAAGTCTGGAGAAGGTACAGGACAGGCCGTATTTTGCCCACCCCTGTCAAAATGGATGTGTGCAATTAATAATCGTTACAAAATGTAAAGTGTTAATTTGTTTTGTGTTAATCGCATCCGTTAACTGCAATTAACTAACAGCCTTAAAATCAATCAATAAATGAGTACTTAGTTATGAAGCAGTTAGTAGACATGGTTACAGTTACTGTGCAGTTAACCAGAGTATAATTAAGGCACAAAACATTTAGTGAGGCTAGCATTTAACCAACATGTGATAAATGGAGTTTATTACAATGTAAGCAATAGGCAATAAATTGGAACTGGCAATGTATTATGCAGTTAAGCAAACTACGTGGTATGCTTATAGAGTACACTGTAATACAACTATAATTAATAAGAATAATGGTTTACAATCCTGTAGGATTTGACAGAAAATTTTGCAACAAGAACTTTTCATTTTATTGCCCATACCTTTATAGTTCTCCACTCCCAAGCATCCCCTATTTCCTCCGAATGTTTAACAAATTCTTCACAATACTGCTTGAATCTATTTTCATCCAAAAAAAAGTTATCTTCAGCACCCAAGTTACGGGACATCTGCAGGGAGAACTAAATGTTAATACTGGAAAATGAAATGAACACTAAAAATAATTTATTTGAGGTATATGCACAACTCAAAGAGTAAAATAACCAGTGTTACAATGATTCTGAAAAAAGTCTTAAACTATAACAAATATTTATTCTTTAGGTGTAAGCTCTTTAGGGAAGGGACTATGTTTTCAAATATGACCCCAACCTTGCAAATACAAATGAAAGTGGTTCCAGTGAGACTAAACTGTTGTATAAATCCATGTAAATTCAATAAATTATTAAAGAAGGGGCTTCTCCCCACACAAATAGGGTCTAGTCTTACAAAATGCTAAGCACACTTCCCAGGAAATAAGGTAAATAAGTGCCCAGAACTCTCATTTGCACCAAGTTGCACTCCATTTTGTAGGACCAGGCCAGAAAGGTCAAAATTTAATTTCACTGAAATCAGTTTTAAAACTACTATGATGCCAATAGGATTTCGCTGTAGGAAATGGTTCTCAACCTTCTTGGGCTCAAAACATCTCTTGTTAGGCTCAAAGTACCCCTCAGAAAATGTCAGCTCTGAGCTTGCACTCATTTTTTGAGTGCAGGAAAACAGGGTGCATCTACATGGTCAATTAATTTGAAGCAATAAACTCCAGCGCATGGCTGGGGGGGAGGAAAGAAGGGGTGGACAGGGGGCATGTCAGCCTGGGGCTGCTCTGACCCAGCTCAATGTGCTGCATAGGGGTGGGCTGGCACACGAGGGTGATCCACTTCAGGGATCCCCAGCAGGCAGCCCCCGAGCTGAACCACCATCATGCCCCAGCCTGCTGGATCATCATCTACACGTGAGTTGCTGCGCACTAAAAAACTACACTGCAGGACTGTACTTGTATTTAAAAGTACTAACCTGTGGTAGAGTTTATCGTTTCCTGAGGCCTAATAGGGCTGCACGTGTAGACACTGAAATGTTTACTGAGGAGCTGATTGGGCAGCTCCACAGTAGACGTCTTGTGTAGACATGCCCACAAGAGCAATTCTTCTGTTGCAAAGAACTTGGAAAGACCAAAACAGGCCAGACTGGTTTTGACCCTATGGATTTCTATTTGAAATGTCTGGGTTTAATCCTATGAATAAAGTTCACACAACTAACTGCAATAACATTACATAGCATCCTGCAGCACCCCTGAAAGGCTCTCAAGACAGCCCAGGTACCACTGTACCCTAGTTGAGAATCACTTCTATGAGGCATGTTTGAACAAAATTATAAAGAACTGAAGTATCACAGAGTTAATGCAAACCATGAAAGAAAGCCATACAGCCAGGATCCACGAGCCAAGTACTGCCAGAGCACAATATGCTTCAATCACACTCCATCTCCCAAAACTCTGTAATAACAGTGTTAGGGGAAAGACACAAAAGATAGCTGAGAAGACCTCCCACTTTACAGTCACTCTAAGATACAAACAGGTTCTGCTAGAAATGTGGCCACCTGTTTTAATGCTTTCTGTAGACATCATACAAATATTTAATAATCATTTAGTATTTTGGGTCTGTACAAGAAATGGGAACAGAGGGCTAGTTTCTCACAGAAAGTTCTTGTCATTTTGCAGGATCGGGTCCTAAATCACTAATTCTTCTCTTCTCCTCAGAACCAAACCTCTATTAGACTACATATTATTTGGATGTGGGGATAGTGAAGAGAGAAAGAACAGATGCTATAAACAGGCCAGCGATTCCCAAATTTCCCAGTCCAGATGATCGACTGCAAAGTGGCAGTAAGTACATACAGTGCATGGAAAAATATTCTATAGTTCTCACATACGTTTTAAATAGAACTATGTGTTTTAGTAAATTTGCAGATGTAAAGATGTAACAAAGCTACTGGCAATGTAACAGCAAGCCCTGCTCTATTTATTTAAAACCAAGCAAGCTAAAATAACTGGCCCAAAGCACATTCAAATGCAGAGTATGAGTGCGTATGGATGAACATGGGTTTGACAAAGGGAGTACTGAACTATTTCTCTACATTATGGCAAAGCTTGAGCTCCGAAAGCTGCCACCTCTCCAGTTACCCACCCTTGCTTTATAGCCTCCCTTAATCTCCTTCTCTCTCCACAACAAGCAACCTGAGGCTCTTCCTGCTGCCCTGACCTCTGTGGCACCACTTAAGAGCAGAGATGGGCACCAATGCAACCCAGGAGCATCACATATGCTACCACTGGCAATGCTCAAGCTTTGGGCCCTATGGGCCAGAGCCCCACAAGCCATAGAACATGCACCACTTGCTCCCTGCCCCCTGCACTGGGA